ACACGAAAATTCAGAATTACTAGCTGAATCAGATCGAGCAAAAGCTGAGACTTTTTCAGATTATTTTAGCGAAGTCTTCTCTACGTTTATTGTAACAAATACTTGTCCCACTCACACCGAGATACCAACCATTGAATCCGTACAGGTGACTGAGGAAACTGTCCTTCCGTTGATAACTAACCTCAAACCTGGTAAGATACCGGGCCCTGACGGGTTACATCCACGGTTGCTGTCATCTCTTGCGGACATTATTTCAAAACCGCTTGCGACACTCTTCAACATGTCCCTCTCACTCGCCCAACTCCCTAGAGATTGGAAGGACGCTATAGTTAGTCCTATATTTAAGGACGGTCAGCGACAGATAGTATCTAACTACCGGCCTGTCAGTCTAACTAGCATAGTCGTTAAGTTACTCGAAAAGATAATTCGGGTTAGGTTGCTAAGCCACATAGATTTACACAATCTGTTAGCTCCTGAGCAACACGGATTTCGTAACAAGCGTTCATGCTTGACTAACTTGCTTATTGCGAGGGAGGATTGGACAGCAGCCCTAGATCACGGTCTGTCTGTCGACGTGATATTCATAGATTTTAGCAAAGCGTTTGACAAGGTTTCACACGTAGGTCTTATGCAGAAGCTCACGAGCTTCGGAATAATAGGTACTGTACATGAGTGGATAGGAAATTTCTTATGTGACCGCAGACAGAGAGTTAGGGTCAATGGAACGCTATCCGATTGGAAGCCGGTCAAAAGTGGTGTACCCCAAGGCACCATCTTAGGCCCTCTGCTCTTCCTTCTCTACGTTAATGAGTTACCACTGTTACTTAGGTCGTCGACATTATTGTTTGCAGATGATGTAAAAATCTGGAGAACAATAAAAAGTGCGGCTGATCATGTGGATCTTCAAGCTGATTTAGACGATTTAGTTAGATGGGCTCGAGAGTGGGGCTTAGAAATCAATGCTAGGAAGAGTGTACTAATGCACGTCGGTCACGGTAATAGTTACCGTTACACTATTGAGGGTAAACCTCTTCCATGCGTTCAAGAGCATAAGGACTTAGGAGTAATATTAAGTCATGACTTAAAAACAACTGCGCATTGCAAAGCAGCCGCTGTCAAAGGTTTTCGTGCGTTATGGTCACTTCGCCGAGCGTTCAAATCTTTTGACGAGGAAACGTTTCGAATTTTATATCCCATATATGTTAGACCACATTTAGAGTACTGTATCCAAGCAGCTAGCCCGTGTCTAGTAAAGGATACTAACTCCCTTGAGCGTGTCCAGCGTGTGGGAACGAAATTAGTGAAGGGTCTTTCTAGACTCCCTTACGATGAGCGCTTAAAACGCCTAAATCTTTTCCCCTTGTCGTATCGTAGGACACGAGGTGACCTTATACTGGCATTTCGTATCTTTAATTATGATTTGGGTGTTAATATGTCTTATCTTTTTGCTCCCTCCAGCACTAATAATCTCCGAGGTCATAGCAAGAAGGTTCATAAACCACGATCTAATAAACTTAAAGTGGGATCCCGTTTTTCTCATCGAGTAGTCAATCATTGGAACGCCTTACCCGAACAAGTGGTATCAGCCCCATCAGTGCTTACTTTCAAGGAGGAGCTGGACCTTCACTGGAAAGCAATGTACCAGGATTAATACAGGTTCACCAACCTACTGTAGTGACTCACACTTATCACGAGAACACGACTGGTTTAGCAAAAACAATTATTATTATAACCAACTGTACCAGTGTTTGTTTTAACGTGCTTTTGTTTGACTGTGCTAATGACAGCTATTTTGTGCTTCCATTCTGATACACACACTTCGATTGTAACTTCGCGCGAATTCGGTTACGTTCTGTAACCAAGCTTGTATTCTGGCACGATCTCGGTATCCTTTCGATGCCACGAGATCGCCAGCAAATATACACCTCGACTTGGTCCATTAATTGCCTTCTGATATTTGGCTTCTCGGGGATTTTATGGATCTATTTGGTTACGTCCAACCCTCGCCTTCTGATTTATCTGGCACGTGCTTCTTTGTAGCGGTGTTCATAGTCAATTTCGACTCGACGCCACGCTACAATTGGTGATCCCAAAGTTTGGAACACGCCTCAACTTCTGATCAAATCTTCCAAAGAAGCCAATTCGGTGAGTCTACGATTTATCTATCCACGTCTGTCGTATATTTTCATATTTTTTAATATTTAATATACACATGACGGATAACGATAAGAATAGTATTAATATAATAGACTCACATGTACGTGTACCGAATCCTTGTTACTTTTTATTCGCGTGACGATGAATTCCACGCTTTATTCGAGAAATTTTCCCCTATTAACTATTCTCCTCGCTGACCCGGCTGCTTGGTACGGAATGCATACGCATGAGCATATCCGTCTACCACCAAGCACCAAATGGTTAAGTAAACGGTTTCACTGCCAACTTAAAATGCTCTACGAGCACACGAAAACGGCAACTGGCACGAAACCTTACCGCTCTTTCTTTTAGGGATCAGAACGAGCTTAAAGGCAGATATCCAATGTTCCGCCACTGAACTTGTATACGGCACGACATTGCGTCTGCCCGGAGAATTCTTCACACCACGGAGCAGACCTAATTTCGGTAAATCAGACTACGTCCATCGACTGTCTGCATTTATGCGAACGCTGTCTCCAGTGTCAACTCGAATACAACATCGACAGGTCGCTCTCCCTCGAGAGTTATCTACCTGTTCACATGTTTTCATACGAGTAGATTCGGTACGCAAACCTTTGCAACAACCTTACGAAGGCCCTTTTCGCGTGATCGCTCGTCACGAAAAGACCTTCAAGGTTGATCGACATGGCCGCGTCGAGATCGTCAGCATTGATCGTCTCAAACCAGCACACGTCCATGACAGTGCCCTATCTGATACCCTGAGATTCAATGCTAGACCTATTAAACCTAGCGGGATCCTTAAATCTTCTTCAGGTCCCACGCTAGGTATATCTGAGACCTCATTCTCACGTCCCGGTCAACAGCACGCGTCATCTGCACCGTCTACGGACGAGACGACAGTCTCACGTCCAGATCAGCAGACCACGCCGCCCTTGACTTCGGATGAGATTGCAGGCTCACGCGACGCGAACGAGACTACCGTCTCACGTTCCGGTCGCCGAGTACGGTTACCCGTACGCTTCCGAGACTAGTCGCACAATCAACAACCGATACGGTGTAGGTCTATTCCTATACTACACGCATGCTACACTCTTCTCTTTTTTGATTTTCTTTTTGTTTCCTGAGCCCACGCCATCGACCATCTCCGTTTGGTTCCGTCGACTTCAGTCAACTTTGGCGAAAGCTGGCCTGATCACCCACGCTCTTGTCAACGTACGCAGTCGATATATTGGTTTCGAATGCTTGGCATACGCTTGGTCTCGAACTTGGTCGTTACGGTCGCTTATGGCTCAACGTGGTTTCGTCCTACGTCTGCAGCGTTTCTGGTGCGCACCCCTACGAACGCAATCTTCAGATTCTGGATACAAACCACTCTGGTGTAGCATGCCAACTCAAACAATAATTACAACACATCGCTCCTGGTACCGTTCTCCGAAAACGACCTACGTTGGCAACTCGACGATCAACGATCGCTTTCCTGTTCGCCAATTCTTCCGTCCTACAATCGCTCATCAGCCGATCAGTCCCACGACTCAAACCGCTATTTATCGAAAGTGTAAACCCTTTCTAGCGTGGGGCTCCTGTAGTGACTCACATTTATCACGAGAACACGACTGGTTTAGTAAAAACAATTATTATTATAACCAACTGTACCAGTGTTTGTTTTAACGTGCTTTTGTTTGACTGTGCTAATGACAGCTATTTTGTGCTTCCATTCTGATACACACACTTCGATTGTAACTTCGCGCGAATTCGGTTACGTTCTGTAACCAAGCTTGTATTCTGGCACGATCTCGGTATCCTTTCGATGCCACGAGGTCGCCAGCAAATATACACCTCGACTTGGTCCATTAATTGCCTTCTGATATTTGGCTTCTCGGGGATTTTATGGATCTATTTGGTTACGTCCAACCCTCGCCTTCTGATTTATCTGGCACGTGCTTCTTTGTAGCGGTGTTCATAGTCAATTTCGACTCCACGCCACGCTACACTACTATCCTTATTACTGAAGACTGAAGAGTGACTTCCCAGGAGTCCTTTAAGAGGCAACTTGATCTATTCTTAAGGACTAAGGATAGTATCGCACTATGATTTATTAATTTCTTTTCATGTTTTATCATTAACATACCTAGGTTCCTGTCTGGAGGATTTGGTGATCCCCTGCTACTGGACACGGAAGCCTGTTAAGCGAAAGCTTCTTCTATTCCGTCCACAACCATTTGAACCACTCGAACTACGTAAATTGGCGTGTGACGGAAAAATTGCTGTTAATAACTAATAAATAACGACATCCAGGACCCTCGACACCATGCAACATGCGCGCGAAAACCCATGGCTCAACGTCCTAATCGTCCCCGAAGTACGGAATAACCGCCCCCTGTTAGGCCCTTCAAGGTCTCTGAAACGAAACGGCGACGTATTTAAAGGGATCTAACGTTTTTACCGTCCCGTTTATAGGATACTCAAGGTAGATTTTGGAAAGGTAAGTGGAATTTTATGGGCACTGCGTAATTCACGTAAGCCCATCATGCGACCCATAGTTGTGAGATGTGATTTACAAATACCCCCGAAGTTGTCTTTTGTTTACTCCCGAAAGAAAAATGGAATTCCAGTCTCAATTGTTGTTGTTTTGGTGTTTCTCTACTTTGGTTACAGGCCTAAGTTGCAGTCGCTTAACAGCTATAACAGGATATAGAACTATGAGTCAGATATTACAAGTTCACGCTTTCCTCGGACATTCTTTCTCAAAGAATGAGAACTTAATTCCGGACTCCCTAAAACATGATTTAATTCACCAACGAACCCAAATCCCGTATCATAATATCCCAATACATAGGGATGGTATGACGGGGAAAGTAGTGGATCCTGATGTTAATTTTAAACGGTCATGTGCTACGGCTACATCTTGTGGAATAAATACTGCCAACACCAAGGTGAGTTTTATTGGAAACAGGCCTGATCTCCGTAGGTTGAACCAACAATTATGAAATCCATCCATGAAATTAGTAAACAGGCTCTCCGTTCAACTAAGATGGAGTTTAATCTATTGAGTTGTATACGTAAATCACCTGACTGTTCTGGTGATTTACCAACTGTCCCTAGTATAATTGATGAATTATTGAAAATGGCTTCTGAGGATGTGGTTCAGAATTGGTGTTTTCCTAAGGGATATTTTCTTCGACTAACAGCTCAGATAAGTGAAGCAGGAACTTTCTTACTACCCAAAAGAGAAACGATCACGTTCCTTAAAAGACGAATAAGGAGCTGCAAACCACGTGAATCCTATGCTACAATAGTAAGTTTTTAATGCTTTGTAAACGCTTTGTTTCTGAAAAATTTCCTAAGGCCAATCTCACATGGGTCTCCATCCAAAATATTTGGTGTAAAACAACGACCGTGCTCCTTTGTTGTTTTGCATATGTCCACCTAGCTATGTTAAGTGGTTCACTTTACTTAACTTTACTTAACGTGTTTCTATCCTAGCTTATCAAAAATGTCCTATTGATAGCTTTCTTAATTTTACCTGGATATTGTAATAGAATTGATGCATCTTAGTGAAACAGTTTCGTTTTATGGAGATAGTGATGTAACTAACAATCTTGTGAATTTTGTTGATTACCCCATTAGCGTTTAAAATATCGCTAATTTCTATAGATTTTCGTCTGAGGACGTTTTGGGATAGACGTAAATTTCCTTTTCCTTCACCAACTTTAGCCATCTGACACAGATGAGGCACCCGTTTGTCTGTCAAAAACGTGGTTTTCAGTGCTAGATTTCAACTACTTGTTCAACTTTAACCTCAACAATAGTCGTGGGCGCATTAATATAGTCGGAATGACAATATTATTTATATTCGCGTTGTATTCAGATCACAAGTAATTCAACCAATCAAGCAGACAACAATTTTGTCGTGTTGAAACGAACTCAAATTACAAACTAGTCAAAAGTTTAATTGCTACCACCAAGTACAAATTCTGAATAAGCCTTTCTGAAGCTATGATTAACATTCAAACTGGATTCTTTCAACGTTCTGGCGCTAATACAGATCAGACGGTAGATTTGGTTGTCTTTATAAAGTCTTGATATGGACATCTGCTGTACACCCGAGCCCCATACTTAAGACTGCATTAATGCTAGAATTGCACATCCTATTTCTCGATTCGAGACGCTTGTTCCGCGTGTATTTGTCTGGTAACTCTGTGGCATTTCTGTTCGGTTAGTCTGGCTTCCGTGTCACAGTAAGTACCAGGCAGCACAAGTCGATTGGACCCCAATTAACAGTAGTCAGTGTGTTTCAAGATTAAAAGGTTCCGTCAGAGCGAGAAGTCAAAAATGGAATACGATTTTATATCGTTATCAATGCCTACGCCCCAACAAATTGCCGACCGGATACAATCGAGGATTAGCTCTAACACGAGTTAAATGATCATAAGAAATCGCGTTTGACAGATGTTCAAGTGTTATCTAGAGGTTTGAATGTGCCGATAAGGCCTCTATGTACGGAAGAGTCGCTTTGGTGGCCGGTGAGGAGTAGTTGGTCACTGGTTGAATAAAAATGACCGTCTCCCACCATGACAACCTGTTTTGGGTCAGCATTACTTTCGACACAGTCTGATATGATGTATGTTTCCACTCCCTCTGCAATCCTTGTGTAGATTCCAATTGCTTATATTGCGTTCAGCTACTGCTTATATGTATGTGTATGTGACGCACTCATTCCCAAATACGTATCTTGTCTCTTATCGTGCTTTGGCTTTGGCCCCTTTATTTTGACTTTAAGTGGCCAACCATTTCATTGTTCTGAAGTAATTGATAAATAAAAATTGACTGCAGCTTCCATTGCAACTAAACATAAAAATGAACAAGGTTCAGGGCTAAATATCAGTCCACGAAGAAATACAAAATATGTGTACGACCCTCTTTGAATACTGCTCTTTTGTCTTCTCTAATATGAATATCGCAGACAAGATAAGAGTAGAAGATGTTCAAAGACGTTTCACACGTCAACTACTAGGATGTAACTCGAATCTCGATTACACAGAAAGATGTAAGCATCTATCTTTAGAACCTTTATGGCACCGTAGGCTAAAAAACAATTTAATATTTCTCTACAAAGCGATATATGGGCTCTCCTTTCTAACCTCCTGCCCGACTATCACCCACGACCCAGCCTATAGACTTAGAAACAACGCATATACACTACTTACCGTAAAACACCAAAAACAAATGCGTTGTAAGTTTTTTACAGTACGGTACAGTTTATTGTGGAACAGGCTGCCAATGCCTATCCGTAACTGTGATACGTTTACCAGATTCAAAAAGCTAATAACCCTATTTCTAGACTCCAAAGAGCTTCAACATTTCCTTGAACTCCCGCCCACCAAGGAGGCACTTTATTACGGACCGCCTAGTGTCTAGAAAGAACAAAATTATAACACGTTCGACTGTTACTAATATGAATATAACCAAATCACAGAATATATGGCCTATCCTTTCCTATTATTCATTGTTTATTAATCATGACTTCATGCTCCTAACCCTAGCTTTCAGTCCCCAAATCTCTACAGGTTAAATGTACATTATTCTTCCTAAAAGTCATGCTTTTTTCTTTCTACTGCAATTAGACAGATAGCTCAACCTTATGGATGCTGATCTACTAAGGCCGATCATACAAAGCTCAAAATCTTGCCACAAAGTCTTGTGAGTTTCTCAATGTTTTATTTGTCTTACCCTGAAATCCTTTTTTTCTTTCTACAATTTTCTACCCTCTCATATCTTTTGATTTGCTATTAGTCCTTACTTCTTTAAACCATTAGTTATTTTCATAGTAGTGTGATATACTATATGGACATCTAACCCCCCAAAAAAAGACTTTTCAACTATCTGATTTGCTTGTAACATGGACCTAGTAGAGACAGTGTATTCCAACTATGGGCTTTGATTAAAGCAGTATTCATACTTACCACAAACGTAAGAGAGCCTAACATCACAAAAGGAGGGAGGGTGGCGTTACTGACCAGCAAACATGAAGGTGGGGAGATAACTTCAATCCACCCATGTCTGTAGGGCAGAACATTTTGTTTAATTACGGCTCCTTATGTTTTAGTGGGATGTCACGAACTTATGGTATTGATGCTGATTTATCACGCAAAATACCTCTTTGAATTGTGTTACGAACGTTGAATTGGTTTCACTTCCTACCCAGAAATCCTATTACAAGCAAACTAGACAATTCGCTAATATACGAAGCCTACTCAAGACCCTATAATACCTGAAAAAAAAAATAATAATATGGAACGGGTGACTTCATCCTGCACCATCCTTAAAGCCTTGGATATTCTAAAGGGACATAAGGTTGCGATTTCTAGAAGCTCATACCTTCAATGGACCTATCCTTGACCACCAGTCGCACATTTGCAACGCAACTTTCATGAAGCGCGCTAACTGTAGAACTGCTTAAAACCATCTACATTCATATCTCATAAATTATCAACCCAGCTATGTAATTTACTACAGTGAATATTGTATCATTTGTATCAATTTGATCTTGCCTGTAAACTGGCATGCCTCATGTAACAAACTGTTATTTGAGAATAAACTATTATTATTATTATTTTACCGGTTGCATTTGCCTGGCGTCAAGAAAATGACAAGTTGCTTGTGGCTTCGCGAAACGCCTCGTCGACTAGCACTAAGTTTCAACAGACCTCTGGAGACACGGTTGACTGTGACTAATCACGAGCTTAGCAATAAACAGACTCTTAGATTTGGAAGTTATACAGAAGTTGTGTGAGAACCGAACACTTGGTAATTGAAGCATGCTAGCTAGTTTGGAAGCAGCATCTGCATCTGGTATCTGTCAAAAGCTCTTTCAATTGATCCGAGTCGTTGGGGGGGAAGCAGCTTGATGTGAGTGAAGCAATCTATGGAGTCGATAAATAATATTTAACGAGACCTTGGACAGTGCGCAGAGTTTTTTCGAACGACATTTTGGCCGTCCTTCAGGTTTGCCTGCCCATCATGACCAGTGAAAACTGACCCACCTGACGGAGAGGTGGTCCCCGAGGAATCTCAACTTCCGAGGCGTCACAGATCGCCAGGTCCGAACGACTCACTCTGGCGAGCTTCTTGTTCAGGGAACCAACTAGATTGTTTGGAAAGATTTACGAAGTAGAGAGTGTTCTGACATCCTAAAATCAAGCGACAGTAGTCCTGGTCCTTAAAATGGGTTTAAGTCATCTGTTCTACAAAGATCCAGAATAAGTTTACTTTCAATCGATTCAGAACTATTGTTTTCCGTCATAATTCACACTGAAACATATAAAAGGCTGACTTGCGAGAAGCAGACCGGCTTTCGTCCTGGTTGTTTATTTATTGGTTATAATTTTCACCCTCTATGAAATTCCGACGTTACGCCATACTTACTGCAAGCTCTGTATACAAACACATCAGATAGAGTGAAAGTATACAACTACCTCTCCCCATTGTTTCATTCTAGCAGTTCACCGGGTTACATGATTCCCATTTTTTTCCTAGCGTATATGAAATACTTAGGACAGCAATGGTGATCATTTGTTTGTTATAGGCTCAACACATTTCATTAATCAATCATAGGTTCTTTACAAACTACAGATATCAAGCAATAATGAATTACGAATTTATTCTCCATATCCAGTATATTGTCTTTTCATTAGGATCGAGGGATTGTGAAGACTTTAATGGTAGTTAACACCATAAACTGGCTTAGCTAGACAACTGTTGAAGATCGGAGTAAGAAACTCTTTCGTCCTAGCCATCAAGTGTTTTCTGGTTTTCAGCAGTAGTGTCAGTCAGTCAGCTACAACGTAAGACCAGGCACATATATGCATCGGTCCAAGTTGCTATACCTCATTAGCACAACAAGATGAACACCAAATTCATAGTAGTTACTTCAATGGTAGTAATATATAAAAGAAAGATTGTGTATAAGGATATAATACAGGAAGAAAGAATTGGTTCAACAGTAATGTAGCTAAAGCTAATTTGTAGTGTAAACTATTTCACATTTTTTGCATAACTGAATGACCTCAGCTAGATAACCAGTGAAACCATCAAGCACCGGACAGCTGTTTTATGATGGTACGGGGCTCCTCAGAAGCGGGCACCCACCATCTCACTTTAGATCGAACTGAGGGCCTACGGGCTTAGTGTTCAGCTTAAACCTTCATACTATTAAGTGTTCGTTCATCACTAGTGGCTGATTGCGACAGATTATTCTCCGTGTTCTAGTGAGATGTTTAATTCAACCTTGTGGGTCTGACATTTATCCACCGATGACATTGTAAGGTGTTCGCGTAATATCAAGGTTTGATTATAGCCGGTGATGTATACTTTCTGAATCCAGACTCAGTAGTCCAATGTTGGGCGTTTGCCTTCAGATCTGGGGGTCTTGAGTTCAGTCCTCGGTGGGGTCGTGAATACTCCCTGACGGGTAGTTCCATTCTAGAACGAAACAGCCGCCCCACGGTTCCTAATTCTAAAGATTTATGCAGCTAGTATCATGTTATGTAAACTATAAGTCTTTGTAATCTAAATAAACCCCTATTCTAATTATCTCCATATTGGTTCACACACATTTTTATTTCAGAAAGCTTGGAATTCGTTTGGAATGTAATATGTTTTGGAATGCTTATTGATTGGTTATCTTCATGTTGTAATCATGTGATCAAGATGTGCTTGTTGTGGGGTGGATAACGAGTCAAGCATCTTGATTTTTGTGTGGAACTTTCTTTACTAACGTTTTGCAGTTGAGAACGTTGACAAAATGTTGTACTTAAAGTATTTTACGTATTCGCATCAGTTCACCAAACACCTGGCAGATTAAATAATTTCGTTTGCATGACTTGGTTATTTTTCGTTCACTTAAACATTACCCAGAATGTATACACTTCCTTACCCAATATTACATAAACAACTTCTGTTATATACTCTGTTAATGAAAAAAAAACTAATTCTTGAATGACATCCGTTCACTAAAGATGTCTAGAATTGGTCAGTTTTATTAGCAAATTGATTAAAATGACACCGTACAAATTAATTGATGTTTATTACTAGATTTCCTCGTAAAAGCCTCCAGAAACTGTGAGAAGGTTGAAAAAATACGTCCGCCAGCCAATGTTTGACAGAGACTTCCCAGAAAACTCTAGAAAAGGTTGGTTTCGTGTCTTCTTCTGATTAAACAACTAGCGATATTGTTTCCAATTTTGACATATTTTCAGCGACTTACAGAATATCAAGATCACCCATAAATATCCTCATTCTCTATACTCAAAATAACCTTTGAAGTGAAGCATCTTTTCTTACTTCCTGCCTTTCGTCTTTCATTTGAGGTTCAAGCGTAGGGGATTTCTGAGGAACTAGAAAACGATCAGGAGTCAATTTCGTGTCCAAGTACTGATTGTATCATTTAGCCTTACCGATGAATGGCCTCATGGATTTAAATATGTGTGGTAGACGTTCGTTTCTTTTTATCTCATATAGTGAGACATTTTAACCGCCAATTAATTATACAATATAAAGTTGAAACTGAAGTTGAAACAAAATGTAATCACTGCATGGAAATATGAGTTTGTTTATTTGAAACGACAGTATTTTGATCTACATTTTTTATTTTGATTTACATATTGTTTTTAACAGGTTCATTTATGCATATCATCTGTAAATTTTCATTCCTATGATTATTATCACTCTCTGCATAGGAGGATACTGTAACACCACTCCCGACCTTAACAAAATTAATTCAGAATCCAGCATTGCATTGGGATTTCGAGCTTGACACATTTCAAAAACGTGCAATTCTTTGTCTTGAAAACAACAAAACAGTATTTGTTTCAGCACATACATCGTCTGGTAAAACGGTGATTGCAGAATACGCATGCGCTATTTGTTTACGTCGTGGTTCACGTGTCATCTATACAAGTCCAGTTAAAGCACTTTCCAATCAAAAATTTCATGATTTTAGGTTAGTCATTTTGTTGAATTAGTGAAATAATAGTTTTATATGTATTTTATCGTAGTTTATATATATGGGGATATACTAAGCACAGTTTTGTCTACCACTTACCAACTACTCTAGGGAAAGATTTGGTGAAAATGTAGGACTAATTACTGGTGATATCAAACTAGCTCAAGAAGCATCACTACTTGTCATGACCACTGAAATATTATATAATATGTTGTGCAATGCATCTGAGATTATCAAAAATCTTGAAATTGTAATCTTGGACGAGGTAAGCTATTGCTTATCATTTAATTACCAAGGTTGTTTAATAAAAACTATTTTGTTATAATTATATTCTTTTATTAAATTACATATCTGTGAAAAAAATCGGGCTAGACTATTGTAGATGATTGTCAAATTTTCTACATTTCGTACCACAATACAGTTAATTGTGATAAGTTTATTTGGTTTTAGCTCAAATACCTTCCAAAACATATTAGTATTTCAACTAACACAAACGTCATGGGCCCATATTCTTGAAATTATTATCACGGTTATGATTATTTTATTACGTCCTGTTGACTAAAAATTACTATAAAGGCATTATTTTACGTTAGAATAAATCTTATTGCACTAACTGATGACTGCAATTGATCGAAATCACAAACCAAGTAAAGTTAAACAACTACTGAAAACTCGGAAGCATCGGACAGCCGTTCCATCCTAGTGTGGGTCTCCTCAGAAGTTCACGTCCACGACCCTGCAACAGGGACTCGAACCTAGGACCTTCAATCTCGCGTGCAAACTTCTAACCGCTAGACCACTGAGTCTAATATCAATCAATTTACGTTATTGCGCGGTTACCTTCTATGCGATTCAACAATATCCATAAATCCATACTGATAGTTATCATGTGCTCACTAGTGACTGGAATTAAGAGGAATTTTTCAGATCTATAATTCGATGCAATGATCTGTTGAGCTAGATTTTGTCGATTGTGATGCGTTTACCCACTGAAAATGATTGACTTACGTTGGGCTATGTCGTGAATTGGTTGGAGTTAAACTTGTTCGCTTTTTCATCCCTGCCGAGTGGTTTACCTGTTAGATGTCCGTGTGCGATATCTAATTTTCTGGACTCGATGATGACGTGTATCGTAGTGAGTTCCTCCTGCTAGGGTAGTTTCAGATATGAACGTGAATATATTGAATAAATGTCAGGTTTTATAACATAATGAAATTTACCGTCGCCCAACTGTTGTAGTGTTCTTTTGCACCTTGAGGCGGCATTCAACTTTATTGAGGTGGTTTTTTTAAATGGCTTGTCATAGAAAGGTATGTCAAAAAAGTACATAAACGCTATAACAATATTACTGCTCAAGTCAAAGCTAATGATCAACCGTTACCAGAATTTTAAACTGGGAGTGGTGTTCTTTAGTGTTGCCAACTGTTGTAGGCTCTATGTCGATCATAGCTGACGTGATAGAACAATAATTGAGTTAGATTGACTAATGTTTTATTCCCACTGGCAAGTGAATGAACTACAGAATCCATAATTTTGCAATCGCATACGATGCTTAATCACGTTAATTTTCTGGACCTAAGACTTTGTCTAAAAACGTTTTTTCCGTTCGATTATTTTTCTGCTAGCCCTTATTTTGTCTTCAGCTCATGCTTGTATAATGCATATTTCTAGGGTTACTATACTAGTCATTTTGGGCGAGACCGTTAATTTATGTACGAACTGACCTGAAAGAATATATCAGGCCTTGAATTTCGTTCCAAAATTCATTTATCCATAAAGCTAATTGGTATTTTGGCACTAAATGATGTCAGTTCATAGTGAAAGCCTCGACTCTAATTCCTAACCCTGACATTCAATTGTCAATCCTTGTCCTGATTCTTCACACAAATCTACAACGTTTGTGTAGTTCCAGCAAGTAGTTGGACATCCTTAAGGTCATTTAAGCACCACCTGAAGCTCGTGCATAGATTGAAGTCCCTCTGTCATTGATTTCGCGTAGTGGATGTTGATTTTCATTTTAATGGTTCTTATTCAAATTTACGAAGTTGGGTGGGTTCATCTAGCGAATAAACGTTCAGCACAATTTCACTTCACTCGTGTCTCTGTGATCAGCGTAGTGGTTCGTTATGTTGGGAGTTCTGTAATTAGATCGCTGTTCTACGTCTAAGTTCATATCTTTGCTTACTGTTTTTAGTTTAACTCTATCTTCAAATGTTTCAAATGGTTGTGGACGGAATAGAAGAAGCTTTCGCTTAACAGGCTTCCGTGTCTAGTAGCAGGGGATCACCAAATCCTCCAGACAGGAACCTAGGTATGTTAATAATAAAACAGGAAAAGAAATTAATAAATCATAGTGCGATACTATCCTTAGTCCTTAAGAATAGATCAAGTTGCCTCTTAAAGGACTCCTGGGAAGTCGATTGGACTAGCTCTGCCGGCAGCGAATTCCAGCATTTGACAACTCTTAAGGAGTAGAAGTTGTGTCTACAGTCCTTTCTGCTATGTGGTGTCTCCAGTTTCTGAGTGTTACCTCTTAGGTCAGTGTTAGAACTAAGCTTAAGTAGGTGTTTGAGAGGATATCCAGAAGTGTTAAGGATGCTATAAGCCATCAGAAGGTCACCTCTAAGACGTCTATACTCTAATGGGTAAAGGTTAAGTGAATGGAGGCGCTTTTCGAACTGATTTCGTGGCTCGCCGTTGGGTACGTTACAGGGTATCCTTATCCTTTTGGAGTGAGGGGGGAAATACTATGTTTCCGTACTCTAAATGAGGACGGATAAAACTATTGAAGATTGTATGGAAAGTTCTTCCGTCAAACTGGCCAAAAATGCGCTTCAATGGTACCAGTGCAAGGTTTTCTCCGAAGGCATTTTTGTCACACTTAGCGTAAGACTTTAAATCGTAGGGCACCAAGACTCCTAAATCTTTTTCGACTTGGGATACTACTAGAGAGGAGTTACCGAAGTTATAACTGTAGTCTGCGACATGTCGCAGATGGACTACTTTACACTTTGAAGTGTTAAATGTAAGTCCGTTATCGTCTGCCTAACTTTCGAGTCGGAACTTCCTGAAGTGCCTGTATATCGTCTTGATTGCATATCTCTCTCCAAGGTATACCATCATCGGCAAAGAGTAACAATTCTGACGTTACGTGTTGAGGAAGATCATTTATGTATATCAAGAAGAAAAGAGGTCCTAGTACTGTGCCCCAGGGGAACCCACTAGGACATTCCATAGCCTGAGAAAATGTGAAATTAGGCCTAACCATAAAGTGTCGATTTTTTAAGTGTGAAGTAAGCCAATCGATTAGAGATGGTCTGATACCTAGTCGTTTGAGCATATTGTAGTACTAGCCGGAGACTTGAATGCTCAGGTCGGGCGTCTAGGCACAGAAGAGAGTCGTTTAGGTGGCCGATGGGGACTCGTTGGTCGCAGGACAGATAACGGGGACCGTCTACTACAACTGTGCACAGACCAAAACCTGTTTCTGGCTAGCACTAACTTTCGGCACAGTCATCGCCGATGTGCCACCTGGCGTCCTCCCTCTGCATCTCAAGCCTGGACTCAGATTGATCACATCGCGATCAGCTACCGCTGGCGTGGTTGTGTACAAGACTGCCGCTCCTTTTGGAGTACCTATCTGGACTCTGACCATGCCTTGGTCTGCGCCAATTTCACCTTACTTTTCAGTGGACAACGAAGTGACCGCCACCAACGGATTGATGTTAGCAAGCTGGTTGCAACTTCTGTTGCAAGTAAGTATCGAACCGAGCTAGCCTCTAGGCTAGCTACCACTCCACCGAAAAGTATAGATGAGCATTGGTTGCAATTGCATGACGCCATGAAAATGGCGGGAACAGTCAGTTGTGGGTTTGCGAAACGTCCCGCTTTTAAGCACTGGGTTTCTTCTGGTTCCTTACAACTCATTGAAGCCCGTCGGTCTACTCCGGGTGACCGTGAGTTTGACCATAAACGAAGGATGTTACGTAAGGAAATTGGGCAAAGCTTGCGTAAGGACCGAGAAGCCTGGTGGTCGGAGCGTGCTAATGAGCTGGAAGCAGCAGCTGCATCTGGTAACTACCGGAAGCTCTTCCAACTCATCCGAGCCACTGGCAGCAAGAAGTCTGGTGTGAGTGAAACAATCTGCGAGGATGATGGGATGCCAATCACTAACATCCATCGACGTCTTGGACGATGGGCAGAATTTTTCGAAGGGCAGTTCAACTGGCCTGCTGCTCCGGCAACATCGGTCAGACTGTCCTGCCCTCCATGGCCGGTGACGACTGATCCACCAAATGAGGAGGAAGTCCGCAAGGAACTCCAACTCTTGAAGCGTTACAAATCACCTGGCCCAGATGACTTACCTCCGGCTCTTTTTAAAGATGGTGGTGACTTTTTGATTAAGGAATTGACGACGTTGTTTACAAAGGTTTGGGAACTAGAGAGTGTACCAACGTCATGGAATGAGTCGATAGTTGTCCCTATCTTTAAAAAGGGTTCACGTCGTTCCTGTAACAACTATCGGGGGATAAGTCTACTTCCGATTGCGTCCAAGCTATTGGCTTCCGTCATTCTTCGTAGGTTGTTCAAAACCCGAGAAAGATTGACTCGCGAGGAGCAGGCTGGGTTTCGTTCTGGTCGAGGATGTATTGATCATATCTTCACCCTCCGCCAAATGTTAGAACACCGCCATACTTATCAAAGGCCAACAATCGTAGTGTTTCTTGACATCAGGGCTGCCTTCGATTCGTTGGATAGGACTGTTCTCTGGGATTGTCTATTGAAGAAGGGTGTGCCTGAGAAGTTTATTAACATCCTAAAAGCCCTATATAAAACACCTCAGGCAGAGTGAGGGCATACAACCACCTCTCTCCATTGTTCCATTCGAGCAGTGGGGTTAGGCAGGGTTGCCCAATCTCACCATTCCTCTTCAACTTTGCCATCGATGACATTCTGGAAACAGCTCTGATGAATGTAAGTAATGGTGGTGTGGATCTGTTGCCTGGAGAAAGACTTCTCGACCTTGAGTATGCGGACGATATTGTCTTACTGTGCGATAATGCCCAAGGCATGCAATCCGCACTTAATCAGTTGGCAATCAGTGTCCGTAGGTATGGTATGTGCTTTGCACCTTCGAAGTGCAAAGTACTTCTACAAGACTGGCAGGATTCTAATCCTGTACTCACCCTGGATGGTGAGCAGATAGACGTAGTTGAGAAGTTCGTGTATCTGGGTAGCTGCATAAGTGCTGGTGGTGGTGTGAGT